TTTAGACTGAATTGGAATTTGTATTAAATGATATCCTTTAATCGATATGGCATCGATAACTTTTCGATTTATTGACTAAGTCGCATTTATGTTCTCAAATATACACATATATTGATATGATTCAATAACTAATCTTTGGATATGCGCCTATCGATATTTCTCTCTTGATATTGGAAAAGGATATGCCTCGAAATCTATGCGGAAGATAGGCCAGATGGTCATAAGGAATAGAACTTAGCTATGCACAGCACCTTAACGGGAACAGAATTCTAACATATTCCTATATACATACAACTACTTACACACGTATATACATACATATATATCTATCAGTATATATATATGTATATAATTAGCACGATTTGCTGACTATCTAGTCTAGGTTTAGGTCTAGCTGCTTACGTCTGCTTCGCTTTAATAGAGGATCTCGAGTCTAGACGACTTAGACGCAACTCTCGGGCACACGTTGCGTCATGAGGCAATCCTTAATCGCATTTATATTGATGTTGTCATCCAAATCCTGCGACGAATTGCACGAGGTGGTTGTTGTCGAGGTCACGCCCACGCCCATAACGCTGCCCACGCTGCCCAGCAGCAAGCTTGAGCCGGAGCCCGGCTGATGATGTTGCTGATGATGATGATGTTGCTGCTGCTGTTGCTGATGATGATGATGACGATTCAAGGTGGCCGTGTGACCCTGGGTATGCTGCAGCCTGCCACTGGCATAGGCATTCAGTATATACCCACCGCCGCTGCCCAGGCCGGGCGGCAGAGTGCCCACGCCGCTGCTGTGCGCCGGCTGCAAATGCGCTGCCAGCGTCGCAGTCGAGGACAGCGATGTGGGCGATCCAATGATGTTGCCGCCCATGCCCAGCGTCAATGGCTTCCCACCACCACTCATGCCCACGCCCACGCCGACGCCCATGCCCATGCCCATGCCCAGGCTGCCCATCATGCTGCTGCTGGGCGAGATGACGGTGCTGCTGCAGCCCCCTCCCGCCGCTGCAACGGCGGCCAGCAGCTGCGCTCGCTGTGCATTGATCTGGTTGTAGGTGACCGGCGGATTCGCCGGATCACTGGACAGCGCTGTAGTCGTCGTCATGCCCGGTGCCTGCAAGCATAGATGTGCATGGGAAAGTTAGAAAAGAATCGCTCAACCGGAAAGTTTTCAGTTGGTAAATCAGCAACAGTCTCTAATATTCGTGCCCGAGCTGCGCTAAATTTTTGTAAAGAAATTTTAACAATTCGCCAGTGTAACTAGGTTAAATCATTTTAAAACCGTTTAATACGACATTTGTATACACTTTCTAGCAGTTATAGACTGGGCATAATACAAATAGATAGATTATTCATAACTTAAACTTTACAGTTAGCCAAAACTAAATTGATCAAAATCAATCAAAGTACAGATTAAATATATATGGCTACAGCTATAATCGGATTCTACGGCACTCCGGTATTTCATATAGGGTATTTACTCATTATTTAACTGTTACATTTTTCCTAAATTACTTTGGCAAATTTTATGAAACGTATATAATTAAATGTTATTATTTATTTTATTATTCGGCATTTAATAAATCATTGCCAACCGCATATTATCGCATCTGTGTGATTTTCTGTTCACAGATTCATTTATATTTATGCGCTTAATGAACTTTAATCCTATTACGATTTCAAGCGTATTCACATTTTTACCCAAATTGCCCCGAAATGTTGTGAGAGCATGAAAAGCGAACGCTTGATTATAGAAAAATACATTTCTATTTTTCTTTTATTTTTGGCAGTTCAATTGGAAATTCTAATTGAAAATCTCTCGATGCGATTACCAAATTGCTGAATTGCATTGCTGCTGCTGCTGCTGCTGTTGAGTTTCAGATTTTGCCTCGATTCGCCTGTTTCTGTTATGTTTGCCCATATTTAAAAATATTTAATTAACGAATTGAGCTATGCCCAATATGAGCAACGCTCCATGAGCCACGCCCCCATGCTGCCTGCCTGCTGGTAATTTAAATGTAATTGACATCAGTGCAGCCAAACTCCATTTGCTG